GGGAGGTATTGAGGAGGTGCTGGGGTCTCCCTTAATTTCAGGAACACTCCGTAACTTTTTTTCTCACTCCCCCAGGTAACGTACAGTCCACCGTGATGGGGACCCTGCCTGTAAGAGGTCACGGTCAAGGGGTGTCAGACAGAAACTGCCATGGGAGCAGCATACTCTTGGGCAGTATCTCAGTACTCACATTTGCCTCTGGGTTTTTTTGCAGGAGATGTACACAGCCTCACGGGGCCGAAGCCAACTCACAGTGGGGTGACGGACACGGTTCGGTGCCCTGGAGCTTTCCTTGTAGGTAATCTCCGAGTATTAAAAGGATCAACAACGAAGCACTGAGCTTTTTTGATTGCAGGTGCCATCCAGCTAACCTTTGGGAGCAGATGAGCATTGGAGGTGAGTCGTGGAGGCAGCAGGAGGAGCGGGGGTCCACTGCAGCTTGAGAAATGCCCTCTAATTGTGTCTCTCTCTCTCAGGTATCCCAGAAGATGACAGCACATTGTCCAAGTCTGGTCAGAGCCAGTGACACGAGGACCTGCCTCTGTGATGGTGAGTAGAGGGATCACGGGGGCTGGGGTCACGTGCCACACTACTCAGATCTTGTGTCTGGTTTTCTTTCTCGCAGTTGACTCCGAGTACTCTCCCGATGCCAGGAACCTCTGAGCCAGCCCAGGTGCCCCTGCTCTGCATTGAAGATGGATTCACATCCCCGGCTGTCGGGAAGATAAGTGCAGGGCAAAGACCCAGAGAGGGGCTGGGAGTGGGTGCAAGTATGTGTCTCACCTGAAGGGATTTTTGAAATTAGTGCAGTGCAATAGGTGTCCTGTAACAGGTTATTTGGACACATCAAAGGAAGGGCTTACTTTGTATCATTGGATTCACTTGTGCAGGGCAGAGCAGTTCCAATCTGTGTCAGGTCCTTTATCTTGTCCCTGTTTTGTGTCCTTCTTCTCTTAATTGTGTCACATGTTGTGTGTTGTCACAGGTGTGGGGTGTCTCACTTGGGGTCAACCTGGAACTGCTCTGCCCTGCTCCGTGGATCAGTGGGTAGATAGAATATTGCTCGGAGTCTCCCATCAGCATGTCAGTTACCTCAGTCAGTGGAGCCGATGGCTGTACGGTCCTGCCGGATGGAGCGGGCGTACATAACTCGTGTGCCATCGTTATAGCCGAGTGTTGTGGAGCTGATGGTACTTGGACAGCGGGGCCTCGCAGCTGGGTTATCATTTGTATTCTTGTACGCTGCGGTCAGAGTTCTCACTCGCTCAGTGGAAATGAGTTAAGTGGTTAAGATCTGAGTGACCATGTGGGTGACCTGACTAACCCTTTGTTTTTTGTTGTTTTATTTCAGATAAGCGGACACAATGTACCCCAGACGGAGAGAAGTTGAAGCAGCCTGGTAAGAAGGTTGTATTATGTGTTGGATGCAGGATGTCAGTTTTAGCCACAGGAGTCCTTTATCTTGTGCCTTTTTGTTCTTTGTTTTCCAGATGGGGCCCAATCGGTCTCGAGGGGTAGCGACTGAGCAGGGAGACGAGCGAGGTGAGAGTTTTAATCCCGAACCGAGTTTGGAGTTAGTTTTAGGATGTTGTCTGTGTGGTCAATCTATGCATATATGCTGTAGCTGTTTACTTTTTTTTCCAGGCGATACACAACCCTTTGCCCGTGTGCTGAAGGTGCCAAAGGTCCATCCTATAAGAGATCAAGCTGAAGGAACCGAGATAACCAGGATGAGGCAGTACATCAGCACCAGCCTCCGCGTCCATGTTGTCTCGCAGCGGCCGTCTGTCCACTTCAGGGTGTGTAGCAACGCTTCGGCGTGGAGTCTGATGGGGTTTAGAGATTTTTGGCTTTGCTTGTGAGCCATCCCTAAATGTTTGAGAGCTCAGTGTTTGAACATTTACCCCTTTCATTTGCAGGGGAGGCCTTGGGAGCAGCTGAAGAGAGAGGAGCCTTCTAGGTGAGTTGGGGAAGCAGCAGGAGGAGCCTGGATCCACTGCAGCTTTAGAAATGCCTCTAATTTTGTCTTTCACTCGCTCAGGTATCCCAGAAGATGACAGCACATTGTCCAAGTCTGGTCAGAGCCAGTGACACGAGGACCTGCCTCGGTGCTGGTGAGTAGAGGGATCATGGAGGTTGGGGTCACGTGCCACACTACTCAGATCTTGAGTCTGGTTTTCTCTCTCGCAGTTGACTCCGAGTACTCTCCCGATACCAGGAACCTCTGAGCCAGCCCAGGTGCCCCTCCTCTGCATGAAAGATGGATTCGCATCCCCGGCTGTCGGGAAGATAAGTGCAGGGCAAAGACCCAGAGAGGGGTTGGGAGTGGGTGCAAGTGTGTACCTCACCTGGAGGGATTTTTGAAATTAGTAGGATGCAATGGGTATTTTGTAATAGGTTATTTGGACACATCAAAGGAAGGACTTTACTTTGTATCATTGGATTCACTTGTGCAGGGCAGAGCAGTTCCGGTCTGTGTCACGTCCTCTGTCTCATCCATATTTTGTGTCCTTTGTCTCTTAATTGTGTCCCATGGTGTGTGTTGTCACAGGTGTGGGGTGTCTCACTTGGGGTCAACCTGGAACTGCTCTGCCCTGCTCCATGGGTCAGTGGGAAGATAGAATATTGCCCAGAGTCTCCCATCAGCATGTCAGTTACCTCAGTCAGTGGAGCCGATGGCTGTACGGTCCTGCCGGATGAAGCGGGTGTACATAACTCGTGTGCCATCGTTATAGCCGAGTGTTGTGGAGCTGATGGTACTTGGACAGCAGGGCCTCGCAGCTGGGTTATCATTTGTATTCTTGTACGCTGCGGTCAGAGTTCTCACTCGCTCAGTGGAAATGAGTTAAGTGGTTAAGATCTCAGTGACCATGTGGGTGACCTGACTAACCTTTTGTTTTTTGTTGTTTTATTTCAGATAAGCGGACACAATGTACCCCAGACGGAGAGAAGTTGAAGCAGCCTGGTAAGAAGGTTGTATTATGTGTTGGATGCAGGATGTCAGTTTTAGCCACAGGAGTCCTTTATCTTGTGCCTTTTTGTTTTTTATTTTCCAGATGGGGCCCAATCGGTCTCGAGGGGTAGCGACTGAGCAGGGAGACGAGCGAGGTGAGAATTTTAATCCCGAACCGAGTTCGGAGTTAGTTTGAGGATGTTGTCTGTGTGGTCAATCTATGCATATATGTTGTAGCTGTTTAATTTTTTTTCCAGGCGATACACAACCCTTTGCCCGTGTGCTGAAGGTG